TAATCGTATTTTCCTCTGAACTCTCAGTTAGTGAGCTTAACATGGGATATACTCACCAAAGGGTTGCTGAAAATCATATTCTACGAGAGATCTCAGGCTGAGTTGTCGCTCTGCTTTGATGGAAGAATCAAATCTGTTCCTTATCATCTTCCCCAAAACCTAAACCTAAGGTACCTAATATTTTCATCTCGACCTCACAAAGTTCAGCAAGAGTGAGTCTTAGAGTTAAGAGCTTTTCTTGAATCTTAAGAGAAGATTTCTCCGCTGGTGTGTTTATTATGGATGGTGATGTTGTGCACTTGCATAGCAGCGGTGGTAGTTTTCAATGCACAAAAAATGCGATAGATGAGAGGTACCATGAATTGGAACACATTGATCTCTAGTTTTGCTGAACTTTATCTCTTTAAGGCTGATAGGCTAAGGCAATGTTTCCAAGAGATGAAAACCTTCAGGTTTTGCACCTCTCACTAAACCCTTGCTGGTATGGTTGCATCAAAGTGGTGTAGTGAACGATTGGAGAATATGGAGTTGGTTAAGCAAGCCTATGCTCTCGTAATGAGTTTGAAATGTTGTGTGGATTTTGAATCAGCTATTGGATTGTTAAGACCTAATTTATATTTTAAAGAATTAGTTAAGATCTTCCTTGAGCCATGCCTTAACTTTATTGGGTGTCGTAGTGAGCCCTCTGTTGGATGTGCGAGTTGGTGGCTATATGAGAACCAAGGGTGTTGGTGCTTTTGCTATTACTTGGATAGCTGGTGTTACTAAGTGAAGAAGTGAACTTACCGCCATTGCTGAAGTTTGCAACATAGTTACCGGAATCACTTTGCCTCCTGTTCGGAAACCCGATTCGACGATTCTGTTAAGGAATCTTCACCAAAACTGTTTCTCGGAACCACAAAATTTCGATTCTTTAGTTTGGAAATCTCGTTTCAATACATCGTGGAATCTTGAACTCATTATTTGTGGAAAGTCATTCTCAAATACATCGAATCGTGACTCTAGCAAAGATTGAATCTTGAGTCCACGTCGAATTATACATGATTCCACATGTAATGATTCTCATTTCGTTAGGGTTTTGAATCTAGAATCTACACCGTGTTGTACATTGTTCATAGGAGTAGAGAAGTGCGATTCAATCAATATGGAATCTTGCTTCCATATATTTCAGAAATACATAATCCTATTTTGGTTATATAATAATGAAGTCAAAATCACAATTTAGAAATACATATCTTTTGTATATGATTTCCCTAATAAATTATTTGCCCTAAGATCAATAGTCAACACTCACTTTAAAATTTGCTCTATGAGTCTAATAAGAGACATCTGATATAGGCTCTAAAGTTGATAAGGCTTAAGATGTGTATGGGGCTTCCTACTCATAAAATTGAAATCTGGATTCCTGGTAGGGGTCAAATGCATTCATTCCATACTAATGTAATTCTCTATTTCAAACTAGCATGTCGGATCCATATGCGTCAGAAACTTGATTCCAAAGATGTTGGAATCACGATTCTAACTGCAACATATCTCTGTGCCACATATATCAAAATATCGATTCCATAGATGTTGGAATCTCGATTCTACATATTAAAGAATCTTGACTCTTCGAGTGTTGATTTCAGGGTGTGGGAATCTTGATTCCAAGGAGGCCGAATATTGATTCCAAATGTAGATGAATCTCGAATCTATTTTGGTCGAGACGCGATTCCAGGAATTAGGAATCTTGTTCCCCGCAGTTCCCATTGTACATATGTCGATTCCTAAAGCAGGAATCTATTAATGAATCTTGACTCTTCGAGTGTTGATTCCAAGGGCTGGGAATCTTGATTCCAAGGAGGCCGGAATTTTGATTCCAGATGTGATCGAATCTATTTTGGTCGAGACGCGATTCCAGGAAATTAGGAATCTCGTTCCCCGTGATTCCTATTGTACAGATGTCAATTCCTAAAGCAGGAATCTTCTAGGCGTCCATGATTCAGATTCCTAAAACGATTTGGGTTCCTAGGCATTTCCAACAACTATGGTTTGCAGTAAAGAATTGACAATTGTTTGTTTTGACTGTGATGAATAGCTTGGGTGATGAGTGTGGATTGAGTGATACTAGCATCTCCACTGTATTGGTGGAGAGCAAACCTGTTTACATCCCCATTAGCCACTGTCTGTGGACCATTCTTCTCCCAACTGTGAGCGAGGAGGGCGTACCTTTCTTCCTTTCACTCAATGAGACCAATCAGTTAGGCCTTGAGGCTATAGTTGCCAAGTTCTTTACCAAGGTAGTGAAGCTAGCAGCAAGCTGGGCCAAAATCAGAGTCACAAAGCAGGTGAAGCAGATGCCAGCAAATATGTCATCAGGTAAGGGCCACATCAGCTCATATCAACCTCACTTCTTGAGAGCCCATTGGGAAGCTATGAGTATTACATCTCATAGTGAGGTTGTCACAGCAATTGATACCTCTTCAGGGCCAATCTTTATAGCTCATAACTTTTCTGATTGTTCACTTGATTTGAAAACAGAGAAGGATCTTGCGGGTTCTAAACGTATTGCCATAGGAGTGGTCTCAAGAAGGCATTTGGTATCCCCATGTCTATTCTTCAGTGGGTAGTAAAGCCTGTGTGATGGGAATTGGCACTTATCTTTGGAGAGGGAACTCAACTGTGCTCTCTCAATCAGCAGCATGTTGAAAAATATGAAAGCTGAATGTAGGGCCATCAAAATCTTACACAAGGTAGGCAACACGTCAAAGTATTGTTTTGACTTGCCATGAGTTAAAGACTCAATGATATGCATGGGAATTGGTTGCATGAATGGGGACTTGCAACATGGGAACTAGGTTGCATGCAAGATGATTTAATTGTATGAGGAATAAGGTAGATGGTAGTTCAGTCATTTTACTATTTTGTTAGGGTATTTTGGTCATTATTGAATGGATGCCTATCACATCATTGCAACAGTAGCAGTAGTTGATGTTATTTTGATTAATGAAATTGTGAAAGAATTTCCCTCCTACATCGGTGTGGTAGAGAAGAGAGGTGCAGCCCTATTTGGAGTAGTGGCATGGCTAGGGTTAGGAAGACCCATGTTCCTTTCCCTTTCTTGACGGTGATCAAGGTACTTCTCCTCTTGTTGATTGACCAGCATAATTGACGGGTGGTTGTTGAATAGGTCTCAGATCTCTCCTTTCCACTCGATTTGGATGTGCCATTTGTTCTTGTCTACTCAGCCATAAGCTCGTTCTTATGGCCACAGCGTGTTTTGCGTAAAGAAAAAAAAGAAGAAGATGTTTGATGAATCTCTGTGTGCATACATGTGACTATTCAAATTATTATGCCTAATTTAGAAGACCTTATTGGATAATTTAAGCCTTTGATGCTCTCAAAAACATTTCTCTTTATAATTTAATGTGGTTATTCTCTATTTGGTGATGAACTGATCATCTATTTAATCCATATGGTTTTTGTTGTTTAACAAATTTGGTTTTTGTAAGTTGTGATAAAATGATGAATAGGACAGTTGAAGGTTTTGTAATACATATTGCAAATCTGCATCCATATATTTTTATTAGTTTAATATTCCAGTTTATTTTTGGGGAATTTATGGAAAGTTAAAATTTCCTAACAGGAAGTACTATTAAGAAAGAGAGAGAGACAGAGAGAGGAGACACTTCTTTTAGGGTTCCATCTATGTGTTCATGTGCTGCGTAAATTTAAGAGCCATATGGGATCCCAAGAAGCTCCATTAAGGTGTGGCAGTTTATCCATTTTGGAATCATATCTTAGAGGGTTACAGCCGTGCACCATCTATTTTATTACTTTCTCGGATGGTAAGTTATATATGTGAGTTTGTGCATCATGAGGATCATGCTTCTTTAGATTTTCTATCATCTAAGATTTTAACCATTAATTCTTGGGTTCATAGGGGATGGAGCTCCTTGAAAATAGGGTATCTCTTGAGGAAGAAGTTCATATAGAACCGAGGCTCTAAACAATCAAATTAGAGCCCACCTCAAAAATTTCACTACAAGAGGTTGTTTTGATACCCAAATATCTTCAAATTGATCATCTCGACATCAAGATGCATGGACATGAGAAAAAATGGATTTAAAGTTTTGAAAATAGTGCATCTTTTAATGCATTTTTGGACCATTAATTTTTAAGATTTTCAAATTTTCATAGATCTGCTTGATCTACACTATTTATAATTAAAGATGAAAGTATATTTTAAGGCTATCACAATGATTTCCAATATTGAAACCACATTTCTCGACACTATTTGAAGGTGCGCTTGACCTTGATTGTTTAGAGCCTCGGCTCTATACAAACTGTACCCTTTATCTTAATCAAAAACTTCAAAATTTTGGAAGTAAAGCAAAATCCACGAGTCATCTTGTTATGGTGAAAAAACCTAACCATAAGTTACGTGAACTGGGGGTTTAGTTGGTCTTCCTGTCATGCAGATGCATGTGCATGACCATAAGAAAACCCATCACCAATGATATTTTTTTAAGTGGAGCAATTCAGTTGGCTCTCAAGCTAGCTAGAGGTTATCATTAGGAATTCAGGATTTTCTTTCTTATTGTCTGCTGTTCTCTTATGATTATCGTACGAAATATCAGATATTTAGACATAGCATTTAAACTTTTACCCAAAGATTGCCACCTATATGGAATTTGGCAAGATTTTATGTACATGTACTTTTATTCATCATAAAAGGGGGGGGGGGGGTTGGGATAAATTTTATTTCTAGAAGTATTGATAAATAAATTCTCTAGACTCTCTAATTGCACATCTACAACTTAAATTTAGAAAAAAAAATAGTATCATGAACATCTTTGAATGTCATAATATTATAAGAGAGCTACTTGTTTTTCCAACCAACAAACTCAGGTAGGATGCGCTTCTACGTTGGCGTACTACGTAGTTGTTCATGTTTTATTGTTTCTTTTTAAAGTTGCTTTTTCCCTAGTATTGACCATTGATCTTTTGCTTTGTTGTAGTTTGGCAGCACTGTGCTGCTGTTGCGTGCTTGAGGAGTGTTGCTTCTAAGGAGCTTCCCAAGTATGGGGCTTGGTAATCGTCTGGATTGTCCGTTATATATGCATTTCACCTGTCAAAAATGTGCAGTTCCTACTTTGCGCTACTTTGCGCTATTATGGTTTCTCTTGTATATTTGATTCGTGGGGTGGTAAACATAGAGTTTTTTAATTATTAAAATAAGTGAAGAACTCCCGGTGCTCTCTAGCGATGATTGTTACGATTTTTTTATAATCTTTTCTACACCATTCATTCTAATTTTTTATAGAGACCTTTTTTTGCGGCCCATTTTAGAGATGTACATTGGATGCGTCTGAGGAGTAGTTATTAGATTGAGTCCCCTAACGCATCAAAAGTTTCTTTTAGGGCACGATTGTTTCGTGTAAAAATATTTTCACGCACACGAAAGAGTTCTCTTGTGGTTAGGTGGGGAAATATTTTCATATTAATTGATCTTTTTATGTCAATTGGTAGCTAATTGGCGTGAAAATATTTTTACATCTAACTACACGAGGAAATTTTTTTCATATGAAAATATTTTTTGGAAAATATGAAATATTTTTATGCTGAACCAAACATGCTCTCAGTATTAGTACTTTGATTGGGTTTGTGTTGCTTGTGAAGCGTTGGACGTGCAAAAAGCATGTGAAGTCTGAACGCTATTACCCATCGACATATGTTCAAAGCTTACATGGTAAGGAAGCTTAAAGGTTCTCTATTAGGCCAGGTTTGGGTCATTGGTAATCATGTACAAAGATAGGGTTGCAACACCTCGGGCCTGGGCTGGGGCTGGGGCTGACATAGCCGTATTCCTTATAAGGTCAGCCCAAACCCAGCCCCGCTCAGATCAGGGAAAAGAGGCCTTGACCCAGGCCCGGCCTTGACAAGGCAAGCCAAATAAGGAAAAGAGGCCTGCATCTGGCCCAGGCCCGGCCTTGACATGGCAGGCCAAATAAGGAAAAGAGGCCTGGGTCTGGGCTGAAATAGGCCAACCTTGTGAGGCCCGGGCTCTGCACGGTTCTCAGGCCGTCGTGTTCTGGTCCTAAGGCCACGTTATGGAGCCCAGATCCTAGATTTTTAGGGCCGAAACAGATTATCTAGTCCTCTATTGGAAGACACATGGTTTTGAATATCCAGCAAGTTAAAAATCATGATAAAGGCTTTGCTGGCTTTTTTTAATGTGGATTCCCACACTTGTGTCTTTCCCTACCTGTATTCAGAATTCTACTTGTTTGGTTGACAAAATTAGAACGAAAAGAATCTGGTACACATCATTTCGAGGAGATCTCATATGGCTATATTCAATGGTTGAAAATTAATCTTATATTTTATATTTTATTTAAATAAGGTTGTAACCTTAAAATGTAGAATTACATATGCGCCTCAAAAGTCTAGGAAAGGTTGTTTTAATGTTGAAAAACCCTCTAATTGATCATCTCGACATCAAGAAGTATGAATATATATATATGTTTATAGATCTATTTGATTTTAACTATTTCTAGAGTTTAAAATTTTATAATTAAATATGAAAATAGATTTTAAGGTAATCTTAATAATTTTTTACACTAAAATTATATGTTATGATAAAATTTGGAAGTATGCCTTGGATTGTTTAAGGTTGCATCCTTATAGAATTATATAAAAATTATTAATATTTAAACAAAAAATTCAAAATATCTCTAAATTTATTTTGGTCAATATTTTTATTCAAAATATTTTTTATGAATTTATTAAATCTTAATTATAAAGATGAACTTAAAACCAAAAATTCAGATTAAAATAATTTTTAAATAAAAACATTTAAAATAAATACCAAGTCATTATTAACCCTTGGATGAGCATGATTCAATCCGAATCATTAAAAAGTGCATGTCAACCTTTTAAGCATCAACATGCTGTGGATGCTTACACCAACCCAAAGTACAATTTATGCGTTTTTTGTAAGGTACATGTTTGAAAAGGACAAATTACTAGGGCTCGCAACTAGCCTGGCTTGCGGTGGGTCAATCCAAGCCCTAGTCCATAAGGCCGCCACTACCTGGCACGACGCAGACTGGGCAAAAGAGACCCAGGCATAGGCCCAGTCCTACCCTAACTTCGGGCCGTGGTTGCTCAGACCCTTAAGACATATTTTGTGGTCTAAGCCCTAGTTTTTTAGGATTAGGCGGACTAGGCCTGGCCCGGCCATGTGTACCATTGCGACTCCTTGCTTTCCCACCGTCAAATATAGTACTATTTACCAAAAAAAAAAGAAGGTAAAGTCAGTGAGTTACAGAAGGACAGATTCAGTGGTGGAGAGAAAGACAGGGAACATAGGCTCCAAATCATATAACATCGTATCACACAATATTTGATTGCCTGCAAAAAGGATCTAATTTTCAGCAAAAGATAAAAAAATGAAACTGATCTAGACAAATTAAATTGCCCCTATTAGAAATTTATTGGCATATAATGCAGTAGTTCAATGGCTAACCCAAATGTAGAAAGATAATGGCTGTTTTAGAGAGAGATGGGTACCTTAGATGAAGATTTTAAAGAGGGAAAAGTATTATATACGCTGTCAAACTGGCTTTGATGTCATCTAGCCCCTCTATCTATAATAGGGTAAGATCTACACTGTCCAATTTAAATGGATTATGTAGATATAATCGCCCACAATAAAATAAGTGTGTTACGGCCCTCATTTGAGAGGGAAAAGTGTTATAGGGCGAGGTCTAGATGGAGAAGGTATTCTAGAAATTGACGAATCAAGAGATGATCTATTAGCAAAATAAGTTAGTTCAGTTCATGATCAGCTCATCCAAGAGTTAAAACAGATTTAGCTTGGTCTCCTCGGCTACCTAAGGCCACAAGCTTTTCTGTCACTCTCTTATTAAGAACCCCATGCGAAAATTCCTCATGTATAATCAAGCATTTCTTTACTTACTCTTAAATAATTCTACTCTTTTCTACTGAATTTTTGAAGTGCACCTTGCTTCTATAATATAATTATTGTGCCTCACTAACCGCAAAATGAAGTATTCACCTGCCCAAACATGAAGTAGTTGTGCTTTCTAAGATTATTAGAATATAGAACACATGAAGAGTCTTAGTATCACATTCCATCAACCAAATATCCTGCAAACCATCATCCTCTACCTCTTGGCATGCAATCCCCATCATACTAAGCAATGGGAATCTGTTATTCTATTACTAAACAAAGAGGAAAAGGTGAAGAGAAGAGTGAAAGTAATTCAGTTTGAGCAGAGAGTGAAGGAACCTCTTCTATCACAGAGTTGGGGGCAATAGGGAGCTTCCTTCCTTGATGAGTACAAACACACTACTTGCATCACCTCGTGATATGCAGAGATCTTCATCGAGGAAAGTTGTGAGGAGCCAGGATTCGGCTCTGTCGATCGTGATGAGGAATTTAAAAGGAGTACTTCCGGAGATGGACCTAGCGACCGAGGTCGCGGCATCTTGGAGGGGTGTGATGAACTCTCGGAAGGGGCTGAGTTCAATCGTTTGTCCCAACACCTCCACATTCTCTGGTATTTCAATTGAATCTGTCAACTGCGGTGTCCCGAACACCCCTTCTTCAAACTTAATCAGCAAACGCCATGAAATGTTTTGCTCAATCAACTCTCTCACTCTCTCTCCACGCTCACATGTGTGTTTGCATGTGCATAGCAATGTTTGCATGTGCCAATTGAAAGGAATTTTTGGGTTCACCAATTGCGTTGCAAGAACTATTTTGGACTCAAAAATCCTTTTTGTTTTCATATTCATACATCTCGATGTCGAGATGATCAATTAGATAGAGGTTTTTCTAACAACAAAACAACCTTTTCCATAGATTTTTGAGGTGCACTTTAATTCTACATTTTAACGTTGCAACTTTATACGAACTTTTTCCTTTCCGTAATAATTGAGTGGTGTATAGTGTAATTTCACACAAAAAAAAAAGAAAAAAGAAGAAACGAAAATAAAATTCGCTTCTATGTCCAAGCTCGAAACGCAATTTTTACATCCAAAAATGAGGAACTCTGTAGGGTGCTCCCAAGGAAGTAGATTGTACCCTTACTGGGGCTAGGAGAATATTTTTTTGGAAGGATGTGATTTTTACAAGGCTAAGGCCCTAAATCATCAAAGTAACGCACACCTTCAAATAATATTAAAAGATGTTGTTTCACTACTAGAAATCTTTTTAATAGCCTGAAACAGTGTAAAACACTAGAGCGAGCAAATTTATAAATACTTAAAATCTTGAAAAATGACCGTCCAAAAAGTGCACATCAAGATATACTATTTTCAAGAGTTGAAATCCTTTTTTTTTCAATTTGAGGATTTTTAGGAATTGGAACAACCCCTTTTAATGATTTTTTGAGGTGCACTGTAATTTGATTGTCTAGGGCCTCACCTTTACATAAACTTTTTCCTTTTTCGAATACTATAATAAATTGGATCATATGCAAATTTGAGGTCAAATGGATCAACTGATTTTGGTTTTGCTATCTACTGCCGCAGGAGCATAGAATCTTTCTCTAAACTACTAAAGTTAACGAGAAGGACCCTTGGAGAGTTCCCCATTTCACCCAAAAGAAAAAAACAAAAACAAGTGGGAGGGACAAGCCCATTATTGAAGGGCAAATTTTGTATGGAAGGGCCCACCCTTCTATTGAGCTTTTGATGGCAACGCTGAAAGCCAATGTTTGTAGGCGCCTACTTCTACTTTGATTCTGGACCGTCCAATCTCTTCTAGCTGGCCAATTGTGCAGTGATCCGATTTACGCTTTTAAGAGTCTAAAATGATAAAATCAAACTGTCTGTTTTTTAGTGATCAAATTCTGAACCTTTCTTTAAAGCAACACGTCTTTAAACTTGTCGGCCTACAAATCCTCCGAAGATAGTTTTTGTGGTCCTACAAGTCCTCCGAAGATAGTTTTTGTAGTCCTACAAATCCTTTTGGGTCCTACCACGGGTTTTAGGCTTGTGTCGACGCTGAAGATGGGACAATTCGTAAATGAACAGCCCAGTTCTGAGGAAATTTTCCCTCAAGTTTGTATGAATGGATGTAATAGTTTATTTAAGTGCGAGGCTCTAACCAATCAAATTACGGTGCACATAAAAAATTTCACTATAAAAGGTTATTTTGATGCCAAAATATCTTCAAATTGATCATTGGACCTCAAGATGCATGAACATGAGAAAAAAAAATAGATTTCAAGTTTTGGAAATAATGCATTTTGTAATGCATTTTTGGACCATTAATTTTCAAGATTTTTAAGCTTTCATAAATATGTTCCATCTACACTATTTTTTAAGTTTTAACTTTTATAATTAGAGATGAAAATATATTTTAATGCTATTACAAATATTTTCAGTATTGAAACCACATTTCTTGACACTATTTAAAGGCGTACTTTACTTTGATTGTCTAGAGCCTCGGCTTTATAAAAACCGCGCCCTTTGGATTGTAGCTCATCTCTTCTTCATCATTTTTTTTTTTTTTATTTTAAAATATGTTAATGATAAGAATGGAGGGTGGGGCGTTATTTTTAGGCATCTTTTCCCTAACCACCGATGCCCCAATCCCATTCCCTTCAGTGATATATGAAGTTGGTCGCCGCTTCTACACCACCATGTATACTATACGCCCATGGGAGCATATTGTACATTTATTTCTTTTGATGAAAGAGTTATTTGGGAGATTTTTCTTTTTTTTCATACAAGGTTTTGCAACCCACCTAAGAATTATTATATTTTGTAGAAAAAGAAATACATATTTTAAGTTTAAGACACTTAAATTCATTCCTCAAAAAATTGAATGGTCAGTGATCAAATGTTAGAATGTCATTTGTTCTGGAGTGCAATTTCCGACTTTTGCGGTTTTTCTTTCTGAGGATATTTACTATGTTGAAGAGATTACATCCCAAAATTTGGGGTCCTAAATATGATTCAAGGCCTGGTTATACACGAGGGAGAAAATGTACAATCTATTCCCACTGGAGCACTAAATCTTTGTCGCATTTATATTCCAGCAAGATAAATTTCAAATAGATATTCTATGGAGACGTATACAATGAGAATATTTACTTTTAATATAAAGAGTTCACAATCATCATTTACCGTTAGATTAGAAATTGGGTGGTTGAAGATGTATTGTTGTTTGGCCATAAAGTTCAAAACAAATTTTTTGAATGTTGACATACTTTCATCTATTAGATTTCCTATCTAATAGCTAAAAATAATTGTAACCTCTTTATACAAAAAATAAATATTCTCATAATATACAATCCCCTCCCCAAGAGTGAGAAGAAAAGACTTTGGAGTTTTCTTTGTCTGCAAACCTGTACTCGTTTTGGACTGCGCACTTCGAACTTGGCATGGGTGGTGAAGGAAGTGGTTGCAAGAGGGCCCGAAAACAGCACGGAGTTCTCGACCGTGAAGCTTTCGGCATCGATGGTCTGAGATATCTCTTCCGCTTTCAGTATGGGCAGCGTCCCCATGGCATACAGGGAAAATATATCGGACAAACATGTGTACCTGCAAATTCCCCTTTGATTTACTGAACCAAAACATAAACGAGCATATTGCAGGGAGAAAGCGGAGAGCAAGTAGTGTACATAGCCCAAAAGACCTTAAAAAGTCAAGAAAAATTCAAAAAACGCGTTAAAAATAAAACAACAATTGCAAAAGTGAAGCAAAATCAAAGAGCACATAAAAAGTACTATATATATATATATATATATATATATATTAGAAATTGACTTATGGTTGGACACGTTTCAAAAATAAAGAAGAAGAGGAAAATAGAAAAATAGGACATGTGACAAGAAAAATTCAAAAATCATTATAAAAAATCCATATAAGATATATTATTTTTGTACATTGATTTTACATTTTATATAATTTTTATGATTTTTATTATTTTAAATAGCTCAAATTTGCCCTAACAGGCGAAGTCTGAGTAACTCGGCCAAGTCCGTAAATACTGATAATGACTTAAAATGCCAAGTCCTTAAATTCTGAGAATGACATTAAATTTCATCTTCCCGCACGCAAGATTCATGTTCCCTCGGGGTTAAAACTTTTATCTTGGAGTACTTTGAGGACTTCAAATTTGGGGATATAAAACCTCAAGAAAAATAAATGTTGTATGATTCCCGGCGTGTATGCCTGAAAAAATAATGAATGTCCTAGTATTGAATTGAGGCTACCTATATCAAAACAATTTGACATAAAAAGTTTATATAGAGCTGAGGCTCTAAACAATCAAATTAAAACCTGCCGCAAAAATTTCATTAGAAGAGGTTGTTTTGATGTCCAAATATCCTCAAATTGATCGTCTCAACATCAAGATGCATGGAAATGAGAAAAAAATGGATTTCAAGTTATGAAAATAGTGTATTTTGTAACGCATTTTTGGACCGTCAATTTTCAAGATTTTGAAGTTTTCGTAGATCTGTCAATCAACATTATTTTTGAGGTGTTAAACTTTATGAATAAAGATAAAAATATATTTTAAGGCTTTCACAAATATTTCCACAATTGAAGCCACACTTCTCGATACTATTTGAAGGTAGGCTCTAATTTGATTGTTTAGAGCTTATGCTCTACACTTTTTAAAATGATCGGTGATTCTGAAGCGGATCCCAAAAATTTATATAAAAAACATATCCTATAAAAAGAGAAGTAAGTGAAAGAAATGAAGTTAAATAGATAAAGTGGGGTAGTAGAGTAGAAAACTGATGCAGTACGTGTATAGCAGAGTTAGCTGACTCGACCAGTCCGACTCGGAACTGGCCGGTCAAACCGGAGTTGGGGTTTTGACTGATGTTGGTGATCCGGCTGGTTATTTTTTAAAAAATTAAAAAAAAATAAAATCTCAAAAAATATGGGATTTGTTTGTAATATACTTTTGAATGTTATTTTTATCATTTTGCCCAGGATTGGAAAGTCTTATGACTACGGATACTTCTTTTTACATTTTTCCAAATTTTTTTTAGAAAATTTTGTAAATACCTTTAGGAGCAAATCAATTTTTAAAATCTATTTTTTTTACGCCTTTTCAACTTTATTTAATCATACATTTAATATATTTTTCATTTTTTTTTGTACTTTTTAACAAAAATCTATTTTTTTATTACTTTTCAATTTCATTTGGATCTTTGTTTAATCATATTCTAAATATACTTTCCATATTCTTTTGTATTTTCTTTTAACATTTTAACACTTTTTGAACGAGCCGAGACCCACCCGATTAGGCAAGCTGAACTGGCTGGTTTATAGGTCACTCGGACCGGGGCTTGGCGGGTTTTTTCCAACACCATCGTATAGTGCGAGAGAGGAGAAGTAAAAATGAGAGAAGAGAGCCGAAAGCATGTTAGTTACAAAAAGGACGAGAGATTTCATGGAAGACTCAGTGGTAACATACACCAAGATCCACTTTCCGTTGAGAAGGGGAAGAGCCTGGGTGGGAACAGGGGTGGGATTCATGGCCTCCAATTGGGTTATGAGCTCCACAATCTCGGCTCGCGTCTCGCTACTCGCCTGCAAACCCCTGTTTGTCCCATAAAAGGCCTCCACCAGGGCTTTCTTCACCTTCTCAACTTCAGTCATTCCCAGCTCCGCCACCGCAAGGCCACCACTGCCCTCTTCCCATATCTCCTCTTCTGGTTCGATAGCCGCTCGGGGGACAGTAGTGCCTTTTCTCCGCTTCCAAGTGGTTGAAGTTCTTCCATTTGGGGGGCGAGATCCAATTGGAAGGGGCAGAGAGCCGGGCTTTCGAAGGTTGGCGCAGCAAGGAATGGGCGCAGAGGTTGCAGACAGGTGATGAGCCTTTGTGTGGAAGGCAGGGATGAGAGAGACTCCAGCCATTTTCCCCCTTTCTCACTCTTCTTTTTGGCTATTGCTAATTCACTTGCAGGGGAGCAAGCCGTGGTCTCTCTCCCTGCCCTCTCTCTCACGCGACTGGGTTTTCTCTTATTGAAATGAGTAATTTACGAATGAATAAAAAAAAAAAAAAAAAAAACAGCAATGAAATGGGCCATTTTCGGGCAAAAATTATGGGAACGGTGGGTGAACCTCTAGTTTTTTTTTATTTTATTTTTCTATAATTGCCTCTTGGTATTAGGATACCATCGTCAAGTGCTATTCTACTTCTTCTTTTTTTTTAATTAAGCTTTTCATTAATACTGGCTCGGTCCATAGAGCGGTCCAAAGTCCCCATCCTCTTTCTTTTTTTTGACAAATGTTATGAACTTTTATTAAAGCACTTGAAGAGCATGAGACTACAAAGATCGTTAGAAACTTGAAAAAATGAAAGAGAAGCAGCAAGTTTAGCTAGCCTATCAGCAACATTATTGGCTTCGTGCTTGGCGTGACCAAAGCTTATCTTCAAATTAGGGCTTATCTTCAAATTAGGCCGAGCACACAAGTCTTGAATTTTCACCAAAGAGTAAATAGGGACCAGGGGAATCTTTGCTCTTTTCTACACCACTTGATAATATTCAGAGAATCCCCTTCAATTATAATGTCACCAATGAAACCCCTGTCGATGATAATGTGCAAACCTTGAAAGAAAGCAGTCAATTCAGCATGACTGGAAGTTGTAGACCCACAAAGACCCGAATAAAAAATAGGAACCAATCCAAAATTGTTGCGAAGAAGTCCACCAACACCTGCAGGCCCTGGTTTTCCAAATGAGCTGCTATCAAAATTAAGTTTGAAGAAAGCTATTAAAGGTACAATCCAAGTTCTAATGGGACGGCTAGAGTGAGAAGATGAATGAGCCAAAAATTTCAGATTGATATAAATATCAGTTCGAAGAGCACCCCGTCCTTCAGGCGCAGAGGAGAGAACCAATTTCAAAGAAGTTGTAAAATGAGATCTTTTACCCTGTCAATACTCTGATACACCCCATCAAAGGTTATCCTGTTACGTTCTAACCAAATCTACTATAAGATTGCACTTCTGAAAATTTTCTAAATTACAACTCCTTTTTTTGGTAATCCAATGGTGGAAAGATGGTTAATAATGTTGATGAGATTTAAAGGTATCATGAAGAAAAAACCCAATAAAGAGACTAGAGTCATAAGCTATAAGCAAAAGGACAGTGAAGAAAAAAATGAGAGGAAGATTCTTCATCATTTTTACACATCAAGCAAATGTTTGGAATAATTTTACCCCTCTTTTGCGGATTGTCTACTGTTAAATATTTCTTTTGATATGCGACCCATAGGAAAGCTTGGATTTTAACTGGAACGAGTCATTTCCAAATCGAACCCAAAGAGGTATCAACAATACGGATACGATCCATAAAAATGAGCCTATACATTGATTTGATAGAAAAAAGTTAGTCAGTTTCTAATTTCCAGATGACCAAGTCTTCAGCATTAGAAGAGATGTAAACTTGTTCAAGTTGTTGAAGGAGATTATGAAGCTGTGAAATAAACATGTCCAGTAGCCTATTGTAGCGACATCCGATATTCTAGACCATACAATTAGAGGGGGAAAGATAAATCAACTCTGAAAGTTTTGCATTAGGATGAGCAACTCTGACAAAGAAGTCAGGATAAGTAGAAGAGAGAGGTGCATAACAAAGTCATTTGTTGAACCAAAAGAGAGTGTTATCTCCATTGCCAATAAGCCATCTGATGTTGTTGAAAACAATATTTCTACAAGTATAAATATCCTTTCAAATCTGTGAGGTGAATTTACCTCATCTACCTTTTTTAACCGAGTAGGTGAGATGATTGAAACCATAGTTAGCAATTAGCACACCCTTCTAGAGATGAGAAGAGTCTTGAAAGATTTTCCACCACCATTTGGATAGAAGCACCCAGTTTACAAGTTTAAGCTCTATGATATCCAAACCCCCTAATTTTAACGGCATACTAACCTAGTCCCAGTTCACCAAATGAAATTTTTTATGGTTATCCTCCATATTTGCCCAAATAAAGTTTCACATATAATTTTCAATAAGCTTGATTACTTCACTAGGTATTTGTAGGACTGACATCAAATAAATAGGAAGATGTGCATAGGTGGATTTAACCAAAGTGATACGCCCACCAAAAGATAAAGTGTTGGTTTTCCATAGGTCTAATTTAACTTGATACCTGTGAATAAGAAGGTCCTAGGTTGCACGAGTGAGCTTACAATAAGATATAGAAACCCCTAAATATTTAAGGGGCAACTTCTCAACTCTGCAATCCAAAATTGAAGCAAGAGAATCCCAAAGGCTGTTAGAGTAAGAGATGCCCACAATTTAAGTCTTATAGAAATTTACTTTGAAACCCAAAGCCACCTGATAGCATAGGAGGAATGTGCTTAGATTCTGCATTTGCTCTTCACAGGCATCACAGAAAATTAGGGTGCCATCTACATATTGCAAACGTGAAATAGTAAGCCCAAATGAGGAAACTTGGAAACATGTAAGAAGACCTGCATTTACGACATTCTTAAACATCATGCTAAGGCCGTTTGCTATTAAGGTAAAAAGAAAAGGAAATAGAGGGTCTCCTTGTCTAATGCCCCTAAAAGCATGGAAGAACACCTTAGGAGATCCGTTAAAAATAACCGATAAATGGGTCCTAGAAATGCACCCCATAATCCAAGAAATCTATCTGACACCAAAACTCGTTCTTCTCATAATCTCACTGAGCACTTGTCATTCAACTCTGTCAAAGGCCTTATCCATATCCAATTTAATAATCACTCTCAGCTAATCAGAAAGATTTTTAGAGTGAATGCATTCCTGGGCAATAAGAATGCTATCTGTGATCATGCGGTTTTTAATGAAGGCTAATTGTTCATCAGAGATCACAAAAGAGAAAACCAATTTAAGTCTCTCTGCTAAAACTTTTGCAATAATTTTATAAAAACTAGACAAGAGACTAATCGGCCTAATATCTCTAATATCAGCAATGATATCTTTTTTTAGAATTAAAGAAATACAAGTAGAATTAATGTCCTTGAGAATACTCCCAATGAATATAAAGTCCTTAACCATTAAATAAACATCATCGTGTAGCAGATCCCAAAAACACTGAAAGAAGATAAGAGGGAAACTATCAAGGCCAGGGACTTTATTCCCAAAAAGAGTAAAAACTGTCAGTCTAACTTCTTCCACAGTAACATCCCTTTCTAGATAAAAAACCAAGAAAGGTGGTAGAGATTTAAAAGGAACACCATCTAAGATAACCCCAAGGTTAAAACCACTAGAAAAAACAGACTCAAAATGTCAAATAATGGCCTCATTACCAGCTGAAACGTCGCCTTTCGATACATTCGATAGAGAAATAGCTTAAATATCATTTCTCCTGCTACGTGCATTCGCGATAGCATGAAAACATTTGGGATTTCTGTCACCCTCCTTAAGCAATTTAACTCTTGATCTCTGTTTCCAATAAATCTCCTTCCATCTTAAGGAGATCATGTAGCTTATTAAGCAAAGAATTTTTATTAACAATCATCTCATCAGATAAAACTTGGTTTTCCTGAATAAAAATTTCAACCATCTCGAAGTCCATCAAATGGTATCAATCTTACTTCTAAGTTGATACTGGTTTACTTTTTTCCAAGAGATGAGTTTGTGCTTCAGGCAAATTAGTTTCTTATGAAGACAGAAGCCAAAACTGCCAAAAACATAACAACTACCCCAAGTTTGATTGATGATATCCATAACCTCATGCTCATCTAGCTAGTGAATATCAAAACGAAAAGGTCTAAACTCAGATAACGCCTCCTCTGTATGACGATATATAGAGAGGTGATCAAAGAAAGTTTGGTAAGAGCATTAACCTTGACCAAAGGGAATACTCTTTCCCAAGCCTCTGAGACAAGAAAGCAGTCAATCTTGGACTTAATTAGATTGGAGGAACAATTATTGGACTAAGTACAGTGAGCTCCAATAGTAGGAAGATCTAATAAATCATTCTACATAATGAAGTCATTAAATATGTGTATATGAGAATTAAATCGAGAATAAGTAAATATTTCTTCTGGGTGGCGAATAAGGTTAAAATCCGCTCCCATTCAAACAGGAAGTCCCGAAGATGAAATAAAAGATTTCAAATCATCCAAAAAGACACATTTAATGTTAGGCTCATACACATTAATAAGCATCCAATGGAAACCCCTGACAGGACCTTCAAAAGTAATTGCCAAGAACCTATCAGCTTTAAAAACATCAAAGCAAAGCAATGCTGTTGGGTCCTAAAGAACCCACAAACCCCTAAAAAATCCAATGGCATCTACACCTTCAAAGTACATAGAACCATTACCTCATAGAGTCTTAACATCCAAAAGCGAGGGCAAAGCACACTTAGTTTCTTGCTCAATAAAAGCAAAAGGTTTAAATTTAGAAATCAAGAAATTGACCTCCTTCTTGCGTCGATCAGCATAGAGACCACACACGTTCCAACTAATAATCTTCATGGGCAAGATGAAGGTTCACCGAGTCCCTCGAAGCCACCATCTTCATAGGGACGAAAAGAGCTAGACGAGCAAGTGCTACTGCTGCTAATAAAAGAGGATTGGGTTTTTTTTTGAAGTCACACAGCCTTTCCTGAAAACCACTCCACCTAAAGGAGGAGCTGAAGAGCCCCGAGATCCACGAGCAGCCAGTCTAGCCGATGAACGCACAACTTTAGAGTCCGCATTTAAATTGGGTTTCAGTATCACCTTAGAGGCAGGTAAGGAGACCTCCAGGTCATCCGTCAAACCAGAATAATGTCACACAGGGAGCTTGGTTAGGTCTGTCCGAGTCTCATCCTTCAATTCTTTGGACATTTCTTAAACCACATTAACCGCTACATCCATGGCTGCAAGCACTACCTCTGGAGAAGTAACAAAAGTAGCACCCATGTCCTTGAAAATACGATTGAAAATTACATGGCTGGGGTTGCTTGGTAGAGCCTTTGAATGATGCTCAAACACATGAATAGACTTAGAATCAACCCTAGAATCTGATTGAATTTCAGGGGCCGAGGT